GGGTTTGGTCCATCACAAGATAAATTCAATCTCTCCCATGTAAATAATGTTCATAATTTTATATTAATATTTTTAAGTAACTGAACCTTCCCTTGTATAAACTCAGATTTTGATGAGTGAATTTTTGCATTCATTACTAAATCCAAAGTACATTAATCTTTTTTTGCAATTGTATTAATGTAAAATAACTTTTATGACTTCTTTTCTTAAAAGATGTTTAAGCTCTAGAAACAATATTGTTCAATAACAGACTGTCATAGTCTTTTTCAGGCTTAATTTCATTTAATAGGGTTTTTTTGTCTTTTTTCTTGAAAACACTTTTTAGTTTGCTGTGCAGTAGTTTAAATAAGCTTAAGATTAAACCTGGCTATTTAGAATTTACTGTAAAAATTGTTTTGTGTATGAATGCACTTTGCCATTATGCCATAATACAAAACAACAGACCAAATTTTGTTACTCAGAGGCAGGCACCAGTTTAAACAAACTGATCCAAACCTTGTATAAGCAAGCTTTTCTTATGTCGACTAAGAACAAGATTCAAGTTAAACCAAAGAAAGCCTGCACCAATTTAACAAATGCAGTTTATGTTCACCTTTAACTGAACCGCTGTGAAAACAATACTGAAAATTTGAAGATCTAAAGAACTTAGGTGCCTAATCCTCTGAGGTTAGACAGACACTGGGCAACCTTCAAACTCCAAGCCTAAAAGGTTATTTATATAATTTATTTCACCTGAGGCAAACTCTCCTGTTGAAGGTCTTATTTCAGTATACATGTATTACTAATTATCAGTTTCAGTGGGCTTCTACATACATCCTAAAACTACTTTCTGCTTCTATAACTGTGTATATAAACTTGCAATTTTTCAAATAAATCTGTGAGCTGTACTTAAAATGTATGTAAAGTCATTAATGAACACAAATACATTCACTACACTATCTGTAACACATATTTTGAAGAAAAATTAGCAAAGAAATTGCTCACTAAATTTGCAATTTACAAGTAGAATTTGGCATGGAATACCAATCAACTCTAAAAAAAGGAGCTTCCTTCAGTGAAGGAAGTTTATTATGCAGATTAATTCATCCGTACTTTAGCTCCATATGATAAACCTCAGAATTCCCTCTGCTTAAAGCTGCTGTCCAGCTTACCCAAACTTCTACAAAAGTTTAACTAAAATAAGGCTGTTCCACTGTAAAAACACCCCGTGTAAATTTGCACAGTATGCACTATCAGTCTAAGTAAAACAAATCCACACTAAGTATTATTCACTTAAAACTATGGGTATACATTTCTCATGGATTCATTATTCAAATAAGAGACATCTTCACCTGCCTAAACATTACTAGTAGGTATAAACCTATGTAAGGAAGCAGAGCTGCATTCAATGCAATGGAGAGTTCCCAGAATTTTTTTTCTGATTTTTCATGCTATGGTGTTTTGACCTAACAGCTCAGCCAGAGCACTGTAAGAAGTTTACCATTAAACAGTAAATTACAGGGGTTAAGTTTCTGAGCTAAGAAACAAACAAAAAAAAAGAGTAACAACATTGATCTTTAAATGAATCTTTCATAGAGAAAAGCTTTTCCTAGATTATCAAAAGACAAGAATATCAATCTGAGTTTGAACAAAGGGAATATGGTAACAGAAAAAGTCCAATTAACTCAAACTACAACAGCAAGGCAGTAAGAAAGTATGATGTATCAAGTTGTACATCAGTACGTGATGAAACAAGGCAAAAGAGCTTCTTTCTAGGCCAAGTTTAAAGCTTCAAGCTTAGGGACGTATGTTACCAAATCCGTAATTTCCAAACATGAAATTACGGAGTCCAGTGTTGCCGCTGCTGTTTTTTAAACTACATTAAGCTATTTGCCTCACTAATCTCTGGAAGCAGAAATTTTCATAGTTTCCCTTATCCATAATTTTTAAAAAAATCTCATGTATATCTTTTATTGTTAATTTGAATTTCTTTAAGTCAACAAGGAAAAACTTTTTGGTGGTTTTCCATACAATTCAAGGATTTATTCTTCACCATCTCTATACAAATATTGTTCATAAAAACAAGCTCCAGTGGTGAAGTCTACCTCATTTCCATTCCTCAAATTAAGTAAAAACTGGGTTGAAGGAAACCATGAAGGTTAACTACTCAAACAGCTCTCCATACCTTGATTAACTTGATTTCTGTCCTTCCTAACAGAAATCTTTCTAACTCAATGTCCGTAAACTAATTATTGTAGGGCTCCAGTTCCTTTAGAATAAGAAAAATCAGTCCTAATGCTTATCTAACTTTTCTCTTGCTGCAAATTATACCCATTACCTGTAGTCTTGTTCTGGTCACTGAAAACAGTTGTCAAAAGTAAAGTTGTTCTTTTAAGGGGAAGAGAATAAGCTTTCAGCTTTGTCTTCTCTCAGCCAAGGAACCTTAGTTCTTTCAGTCTTTCCCTGTCTGTCTTATTTTCTGTTCTTCTCATGATTCCTGATGCTTTAGGCTAGCTTTCTTTAAATAACCTTTTAAGCGTGATGTCCTAAGATGAGTAGCCTATGTGTCACAATTTTACTATCAAGAGAGATGGAAGGATTACCACACTCTGTCTATGACTTCTTTTTCACCATCTTGTTCTACTGAGGTAAATTGTTGATTGACGTGGGTGACCCACATGAACTCTTAAGTCCTTTCCTGTATAACTGCTGCCTAGAAGTGGGTCCCTGTATCTTGAATTATGTAGTTACTTATTCCTAACTAGGAATACTACTTTGCATTTGTCCTCATTTCTTAAATCATTTTGTTAAAGACAATTTGAACATAAGTCTATCTTTCAAAGTACAACACAGTTCCTCTTAACATCACTGTGTTAGCTTTTCTTCCAACTTCCAGAATTCATTCCTTTGTCTTTCTCCAATTATAATACACTTTGAATTTCTACATTAATAGTGGACTGGATAACTCACATAAAGCAAAACCGAGTAAGGCAGACTTGAAAATTAAAGTAGAATATACTGTATTTAGTCTGATTATTTTTTCAAATTAATTTAAATGGAAAACAAGGTCCATTAAAGCAAAAGGGAAAAAAGGGAGAAGGGACAATGTCAAGTGTGCCATGGCTATTCTGCAGCTATTTTGAGCCATCTGCTCAGCGATAATAAAGGTTTGACTCTGATGAAGATATAGCATGATTTGTCATTGCCAGTGATATTCTTCATTAGCTGCATCCCATTTTATGTCTGAGTCTTTCCAAATTCTATCCCTACAAATTCAGACTATCCTCTTACTCATCCTTCACAGTATCATACCTTTCTGCCTTCTGTACAACTCATTCTTGAGTATCAGATAACCAAAGGAGTTGCAGTTAAGTCAAGATGGTCTCCAATTTGGTTTCTTACCCATCTTCTTCTATAACCACTGTTGGAATTCTTAGCACTGTTGTATTAAGAAACTTCCAATTCCTATAAAATCGTTTTTCCTTAGACCTTTATACCTGTCTCTTTCTCAGAAAGACCCTGCTGCCATGATTGTGTTCTCTCCTTCCCTTCCTCCCCTATCTTAGCTTTATATTCTTCCACCCCAGTAATAGAAGGCTACATCTAACGCAATCTGACAAATTAAAAATTTGCATATAAACCTATGTATACTAAAATCACCTTCACAGGTAGCAATATATTTTCACTGCACCTCTGCAGAAAAAGAAGGGTGTGAAGGATACAACTATCATCCCCATTCCACATATACAAAAACTCAACCTAAAAAGTGGAGAGAGATGGTTTCACAGCACAGGTCAAATCACTGGCGGAGCTAGGATTCACTCATGTCTTTTGCAGTCCTATACAATATCAAACTTGCATGAAACTTCCAGTTTAGATAAAAAAAAATTCTGTTACATGAGGCTACCCTGATTCCTTGATAGAGGTGTACAGTTTTGGTTTTGTTAGAACTAAAATAGAGGCTTACCTTTGGATGACTTCCCAATCTTAAAGTTGGGGGTTTTTTTAACTGTTTCATCTTTATCATACAAGGGCAAAAGTAATTAGAAAAGGGAAAGCAACTGAAGGCTAGCTGCACAAAAATTCTCATATGCAAAACAGGTACCATATTGGACATGAACTCTTTTCATGGAGACAGAATAATAACTGTATTAAATACCATATTTTACAGTTTCTTCTAGAACAAGTCAACAGATCTTCAGAATAGAAATGATTTGGCAACCTAACTTACTAGTATGAAACACCAGTTTTGAAACATTTTTGAAAATTAGTGTTCAACTTCTCTGTTCAACACAGGAGTACCAGATGAGAACAAAAGAACCATCTAGCCCAAGATACTGCTGTAAAAGTGCCCAATAGTGGATGTGTACTACTACATTATGCTTTTGTCATTTCAACTCTGTAAAAAATTGACCAAAATCACAGAACAGAGAACTACTACTTTCACATTAATATCTCTGTACCTCAATGTATGTTGATACATACAGAACACACAAAGAAACAATTCCTCTGCCCTGTTATTTTTCTTTCCACCCTGATATTTAAAAACCCATTAAAAACTTAAACAGTTCATTGTATAAATTACGCTAAATTGGCCTCTGAAATTTAATCAGAAACAAACAGCATAAGCTACAAGCTGTAGTAAAGTGCAAGTTAGTCATCAATTATTTAATATATTCTATTTAAATAACAACACTGACACAATATAGAGACATACAGAATTATTTTTATACAACTGTAAAAAGAAACATGGGAGGGAGGAAGAAAGAAGAAAACCCCAAGAAACTAATTTCATTTTGGAAAGAAAAATTTATTAAGTATAAAAAAGGCACACCCAAGACATTGCTTTTGACAGAAGTACCTTAAATATCCCCATAGGCATATTCTTCACTCTAGAATTCAATACTACAGTCATTATTCAGCACACACATCAGCAAATTCCAGTCTACTGCCACACATTCAATGTCTAATACTATAAATTGATAATTCATGAACTTACTAATATTGCAACTACAACTCACCTTCTGAAATTCGGGAAGGGAGTAACAATCCTCTTCTGCCTAATTCAGCCAGAGCCAGGCATCCACCATGCCATGCATTGTCTGTTTCCTGGAAACTAATTTTAGAACAAAGACAAGTTTTGTTAAGAGTAGCCTTCCCTTTTCAGATTTCATTTTTCATGGTGAATTCCTAACATTTTAAAAGACACATAATCCAAACCAGCATGTATTTATTGTGTTATTAATTCTGTTAGACTTCTAAAATATAAGAATGACAAGTTGAACATGTTTTCTTTCCCATTTTGTGCAACATAAATACTGGTATAAACATGATCAAATAAGCAAAAAAACTATTTATCAATATAAATGTAACCTCAACACAGAAGAGAACAATACCTGAAACTCACCCAGAAAAGGAAACAACTTTCTAGTACACCGGCAAAAGATGCAGATTTACAGAACACACCCAAAACAACTAATGAATTTAGTGCCAAACACAGTCCTTAACTAGCAAAAGAGGTTCAAGTGATAGTTTCCAATAAACACATTATATGAGCTTATGCAGTGAGCAAACAGCAGCGTTTATCCACCTTTAAAAAAAATAAAACAAAACAGAGCAACTTGTAGTGAATGAGCAAAAAATATCAAAAATGGTACATAATTTTTGGTGGACTGGCAGATAAAGGAGTGAAAAGGGGAAAGGTGGCATGCTGCATGACTAAACATACAAAAAGTTAATTTTGTATTAAGCTAGGAATAGGAATCTAAGAATAAAACGTTGAACAGACAGACTAGGTCATATCAAAGCTTCATCTCTCCCAGCATCCTGTCTCTGACATGGATCAACAGCAGATGCTTAGCCAAAGACGAAGCATAAAGGATCATTCCCTTATTAGCCTCCTCCTAACTCTGGCAATCAGCAGTATGGAGACTTCCCAAGCCAGAGGTTGCAGGCAGAATGTCATATTTAATAACCTCTGATGGGACTCTCTTCCATTAATTTGTATAATCCCTTTTTGAACTCCCTTTACACTTTTGGCTTCCATAACATCCTGTGGCAATGACTTCCACAGTTCAATTATAACTGCCTGAAAACGTACTTCCTGATGCTTCCCAGCTCCTGCATTATGAGCGAATAGCAAACAATTATCCGCTTTCTCTCTTTCTTTCATATTTATGATTTTATGTATCTTCATTATATCCCTCTACTTTTTCTTTCCACTTGGAAGAATCCCCATCAGTTAAATTACTTTTCAATGATTCAGTTTTGTTATCCCTTCCTTTCCTAATAATATCTAACGTTCCATCTGCCTTCTTTTTTCTGACAGCTGCTGAGCACTCCACTGACATTTTGACCGAACTATCAGTGACTTCACGATCTCGTTCCTGAGTAGTCATACTGTTTTACAGCTAGCTGTATTTTTCCCTAAGTGCATTAGTTTGCATTCATTAGACATTATATTTCATATGTCATTTACTGTCTGGTTACTGACTTTAGGCTTATATAACATTTTCTTTTCTGTCATCTTTAGTTTTCACTACATTAGCTAACTTTAAATCATCAGTTGATTTCCTCACCCCATCATTCACCTTTTTTCCAGGATCCTTTATGAGTATGTTGAACAGCACAGGGCTCATACAGACCCCTGGGCGACTGTGCTGATAGTCTCACTACATTGTGAAAAATGATCACTTATTTCTTCCCTGTCTCTTGTTTTTTAATTTATCTCCATATAATAAATCCTTTCTTCTTATCCCAAGAGATATAACTTAAAGTGCCTCCGATGAGCAACTGACTTATTTTTATTTTGGTCACTAGATATTTAGCGCAAAGAATACAGAAGAGATTCCCTTTGTCCTTGTCTACATTTGTTCCCAGGTGTTTCTGAAGAAAGCAGGTCACTCAATTACTAGTTGGATTACTCATCCCTATGACTTGAAAAACAAGAAAAGAAAACACAGTGAGTACAGGTCTTTGAAGCTCCAGGGATAATTGAGATCAGCAGCACCTCTTAAACTAATTACAGTAACACAGTGGAAGTATCGGCTAAGTAGATACTTTCCTTGCAAGTTTTTAAGACTTTATACCTTCTTTTTTTAATGTGTTATCCTTTGAGCTGGTATTTTTAATTTGTACTCACAACCAATATAAGAAGATTTTTTAAAACTGAGTACAACTGAGTGACAAACTGAACATTAACAGTATTTTTTGCCAATAAAGAAATTCTTTTTGTTATTAGCTTTGTCTAAAACACTAGTTTAGATCTTAAAGGTCAAGTACTCAATGTAGACCTGATGAGCAATTTGATATTAAAAAAAAAGCATATGATACTTGTTTAATAATTTAGTCCTTTACATGCTCTACATGCATGCAGAAACAAGACATCCAACAACATAGCGCATCAAAAGAACATCCCAACAGCTATATGTGATCAAACCAAAGTTTCAGCTAGCCCAAAAGCCTCTCTCTGACATGGCCAACAGCACGTGCCTTAGGTATAGTATAAGAACAAGCATATTGCAACACTCTCCAAAACACTTCCAAACTCTGGCAGATCGTGGACAAGTTTGCAGAAAAGAAAAACGTTTTTTGTTCAGGCATATGTTCTTAGCATCCACAACATCCTGCGGCAAGAAGTTTTTACAGTTTAACTATATGCTGTGTGAATAACCACCACCTTTTCTTCATTCCAAACCTGCCACCTGATACTTTAGTTCGCTTCTAATAATATAAAATCTAGAGGGCAATCATTTCCATGGCATTCATGATTTCATAAACCTCTATTATACCCCATTTATTCCTCACTCTTCCTAGATGTTTTAGCCTCTCCTCACATAGAGATTGCTTCTTATCTCTGGTGATCCTCAGAACTCTTTCGAGTATCATTTCCAGTTCTACTGGAGGTGCACACAACACTCAAGACATGAGCACACCAGGAATTTTTAAAGCAGCAAGTTAATGAGCATTTTTTCATTTTTATTTTTCCAAAGTTCGACTTCAGTCCTTCCACATTACTTTAGAATGGGGTCAAGATGAGATTAGGAAAGCTTCTTATCTCTGGTGATCCTCAGAACTCTTTCGAGTATCATTTCCAGTTCTACTGGAGGTGCACACAACACTCAAGACATGAGCACACCAGGAATTTTTAAAGCAGCAAGTTAATGAGCATTTTTTCATTTTTATTTTTCCAAAGTTCGACTTCAGTCCTTCCACATTACTTTAGAATGGGGTCAAGATGAAGGATTAGGAAAAACTTCTTTATGGAACACCCTCAGCACATCCGTGCCTTAGAAGCTTTTGAAATCTGGGAGAAGAAGGGCAACAAAATTTACAGATTTTTAGACCTGTATCCCTAACTGTTGTCCTCCTGTTTCATAAGCAGACATGTTTCAGATGCATGTAAAGCGTGAAATAAGATTTTTACCTAAAACAGTCCAACAGAGACCCAATCACGTCATCTGCTAATTCTTTTGGAAGTCTTCCAGTTATTCTACCAATTCTACAGAGTTAAAAGAAAAAAAAAGCATACAGTGATTCATTAGTACTGCATTTGATGAATAAGTCCTATAAAAAATTCAGTTACTGGAAACTTACAATAAGATGACTGACTTCAAGATGACAATGCACTACCCTAACACCATTAGCCTAAAACAACAATCTCAAACTTGAAGCAAAAGCTACACTGTAGCAAACTTAAGACAGAAATACAGTTTTTAAAGTGGAAGAGAAAAAAACATTTTGAAGAAATGCTACTTTACACCCTTCACATCAAGTCTTATCCAGAATGTTTATTTCCAAACCTATCTGAAATTTTCCTGAAGACCAGCCCGATTTCATATCAGAAAAGGATACAAACATGGCTTTATACCATCAGCTGTGCTAAAGCCATTTGAAGTAACTGAATATTGACAATACACACAAATTATCAATTATGGATTACATCAGACTGTATTTCTATGTTGTTTACTTTAGTTTATTAGTTTAGAGTAACCATAAGAAACCTACCCTTTTGCTGCAGACCACCTGACAATAGTGTCTTTGTCTTTCAGTCCAACCAACAATTGCTCTGCAGATAATTTTATTTAAACAAAACAGATTATTCTCATTTAACAAACAGAAAGATTTCTTAAAATGTTCAAAATTCATTTTCCTCTTAATATAACTGCCTCAAATTAAAATATTTGTATCTAGATTTCTTCTATTTGTGACACAAGTGTGACTTGAAATCAAAGAAACAAGAAAGATGTCAACAACGTTTTCTAAAAGAGAAAATTTGGTTTGAAATTTTAAGTACTGTGGAAGATTCAAAATGGAGGTCGTGGTGCTTTTTTCAGTGGTTCATTAGATTATTCAGTTACAAAAGTCTTCTGATGCAATTTTTGTCTATTTATTTACAGCATATCCACCAGCAAGCTAGCAGAGGACCTGCTGTATGACTGCATACTAATAAAAAAATGCTGTGCCTTTGATACTACCACAGCTTAAAGATTTCAACCATAATTCTTTAGCTTTCATGTACAAAATTTTTTGGTTTTCATTATGAATTTTTATTCATCCTTCCATCTGTGAGAGGCTCAAGATATCTCTTTCATATTACTGGATAAAATCGGTAAAGTATATTTCAATTACTCTATTCCCCAACCCCACAACAAATGCTACAGTAATGAGTTTCTGCTCGAGATGCTGAAATCCAAATAATTTGACAAAAATATAGTATATTTTAATCAGTTGCATAGACTGAAATTTCATAGTCTTTCCAATTGTTCACATTAGCACAGATACCCACATGACTTTCTTAGCCCTAAGCAGGTTGTTTTCCAATATATGTTTAATTTGCAGGCATTACAATAATTTCTGTCCAGTTTTAACACACCTACAACATTTTCAATCTCTCCTGGAATGTCATATTCCTCTTCATCGTCAGCTTCATTAGCAGCAACTGTCATCATTTGATTCTGCACAACTGAACCCTGAGCTTGCAGATTGGCAGCCAGAGATCGACAGCCACGCTGGTATCTGCACAAGACACAGACACAGTTAATTTATTTTTCTGATTTAAGTTCCAACTGAAATAGGTACATACTGTCATAAAGCCTGCTTGTCAAGTTACTACACCTCCTGGTGTACAGCTCTCCAGTTCTTTAGTGGTTGCTTTAAAGGAAAGGGAAAAGTATCCCATTCTCCTTCCTCCTGACCCAGTTGTCTCTTTTCCACGCTGAGAAAAGTTAGACTATTTAAATGGTTCCTTTTCATTACCTCTCCCTTTACTGTTTCAGTATAACCTACTTTCCACTGCTGACAACAGAGGCAAAATTCCCATGCCCTAAAAACCTCTCCAAAACCTAAAAAAAAAATATTAATAAAATCAACTTATTAAAAATTGTTTTTTAAATGTTAAAGCTAGCTCAGTACTTTCTGCCCAAGCTGTACTCAGATATTTAGCCTGTGGTGTAGGTACATTCTTACAAAAGATATACTTTACATGCTAAACTGACTTTTGCCATTGGGCAAGGTACACACTCCACCTAAAAAGAATTTTCTATGCCTAAGGACGTTCTCAAAAGTTGGTAAAAGAAATACAATAAAAATAGTCACCAAGGGAGCCTGCAATTTTAAAATATCAGTGCGAGAAATCTAAAAAAGAGTTTGCCCTCTGGCAATAACTAAAACCAGACACCAAAACCTGACTAATATGCAAAACGAAAGTGGGATTGCAAACCACTTTTCCCCTGTGAACTTTCTATCGAATCAGGGTAGAACTATGTAATGGAAAAAGTTATGTTCACTCTCACAAAATTGTACCAAATCAACTTCAGTAACAAAGGTCGCTGTCTTCCCATCTTTACCAAGTTATGCATTAAATAGGGACAGGCTTGTGTAATGTGCAACATGGAAAGTCAAAAGATTTGGCTTGTCACAGCACTAGTTTACTATACCAACACTGAAAAAAACTACAGGAAACTAAATACAGTGGAAGAAATCTACTTATTCCAAATAGTGCAAACGAAGAATGTGTTCGTTCCCAAATAACACGAGGATTTCTTTCTTTCTCTTTTAGGGGAGGGGAGGTTAGGAGGGCAGAAGGCCAGTAGTCAAATGTATGGATTTAGGTATTTTTAAAGTTTTTTGAATGCTTTTGTATTTTTTTTTAACTGTTTCAGCTTTAAACTAACCTCCATTTTGCTACCTTCGGTTTCACAAATGTCAGTCCAAGTCGTTGAACAAGTTTCATCCCTAGCTTGCGAAGAACCATCTGATTACTTTCTGACAGCTTGCAGTTATCAAGACACTCAAGTACAGTAGCAGCTGTAAAAGAAAATAAACACGCTAGAAAAACTGTTCTTAAAAAAATCTCAGTAAGAAAATTTTGTAAAGTTTTGAAAGTTCTTTAGAAGATTTAGATCTTTAAAGGTATTGCTGAAATGCAAATGCCTTATTACCTACTTTCTAGTAGGTTTGACACTGGTCAAACAGTGGTAATATCCTTCACCTACCAAACAGGAAGGATTGCTTTAAGGATTACTTTTGACTATGAAAATTACAATGAACCTAGATTCTGAGAGTATTTATGCCTCTAATTCTCACTGGAAGCAACATGTTCAAGTATCTTTCGGGTCTAAGAATTTCCAGTAGTCTAACAGAACCAGGAGTCAGAAAATCTAATTCATTTACTCTGCAGCCAGTTTCTGCATACTAAGAAAGTGTTCCCTTTTCTCATTTATTATTTTCAGGCAGCACCAACTTAACTCCTCCGGCACAGAAATTTTTATGAGGAGGAAGGTCCATAAACATTTAGACATGAGAAATATTGTGTATGTGTAAACAATCAGCAATAAAACCTTTCATTTGGGCACATCAAAGGTAACAAAGTTATTTGTCCAGCAAAGTAAAAAAAACATAGACGAAAGGAGAATCTTGGATTAATGAGTATAAAGTTCCAGGATTCAAAATTTTCACAAGGAACACATTCCTGTCACAAATAAAATAGTCCTGTTGCATTTTCAGCCTGAAACAATTAATGATTGTTTTGAAGGCTGATCATTAGTTAACAGAGACTAACAACTTGGGCTCTGAAGGACCTATCATTCTTGCTATAAGCACTGCAAATACGGAATCATACTGGCAAAATACTCTGCAACCTCTTACTCCAGTCTTGTATCAAGGTTTTCAAAATATTAAGAGATCAAAGATATAACAGCTGTTTCAAAGTCTGAGAAATTGTAGGACATGACTTAAAATTCTTCTCAGTTTTTAACAAAGGCTTATGATTTATCCTGACATACTAAAATATTAATAAAATAATACACACGGATAAAAAGGGAAAGCCAGTAACAAAAAGGTAAAGCCAGTAATGACTATTACTTCGATACTTTCCAGCAACCTGGATTTTTTTGCAGTTCTAAAAGCTAGAGAGGCTAATGGTTTAGGAGGAAGACACTGCAGAAACATCAATATTCACAGATAGAGAAAAAATTACAAATATATAAATATAAGCCTCTTTCAAGTCCTACCAACTCTTGAATCACTAAAATATCTACAGACCCATGCAAATGGCTTTAGGACTAGTGCTTATTTTTAAATCAAGTTCTATGTTGCAAAAGATTTCAAACAGTGTCTTCCTTTGACATGTCTATTCTTTTCCTATTTGATCCTCAGATCTGTTATAACCAGTAATAATTAAAAATCTTTGATATTTTTTGTCTCTCACATTTTCTTTTCCCCAACAGTTTCTGTCTGAATATTTGCTTCTTAGTTGGGAGCATTCTATCTTTTCTATGGTAAATTTATTCGTTGGTATGCCCCTGATTTTTCTCTTATTACCAAACTCATAACTACTTAATATTCTTTATATATGCCATAAGCCAAAACATTTCATTTTACAGCAGGGTTAATGTTGTGAGCCAAATATCTGCTTTTCATAGCGATTATGACTATTGTGTTGTACAGTTGCATCTTTTAAATTACATAATTTTGTGTTACATCATATTTTATCTAGCCTTAACTACTTAATATTCTTTATATATGCCATAAGCCAAAACATTTCATTTTACAGCAGGGTTAATGTTGTGAGCCAAATATCTGCTTTTCATAGCGATTATGACTATTGTGTTGTACAGTTGCATCTTTTAAATTACATAATTTTGTGTTACATCATATTTTATCTAGCCTTTTTATTATTCTGCTTCTCTGGTAGTCTTATTACTCTAAGCTTCCGCAGTGCTGTCTGCTATTTCTATGCAATGACATTCCTCTATATTTTCTGTTTGCTCCTGACCAGCTCTACAGCACATCTGTCATTCCATTCTGTTTGTCTTCACTATCTTATCTCCATCTTTACCCATATCTCAGGCATTTTGTAAGGAAGCGTCTGCATCTCAGACTTAGTAACTGGAAGAACTAAACTGTTTCCAATGCTAGATCTACAGTTTCTTCTCGGAAGTCAAAATAATTCCATTAAGTGAAATCAAAAGCATTCTAAAGTGAGTTTACATCACTGCTTCATTCCCATGAATAGCACAAACCGCATTTCTGGTGCTTTGGCAAGCTCCACAAAACCAACAAGGTCTTTTGTAGTGTTTTGTAATTAGCCATCATCTTTCCCTACCTCTCTTTACTGCTATCAATAAAAAACAAGCTAGTATTTTGCAGTCAGTTCTGACCATATTCCAGGATTCACCATGAGATGAATACAATTCCAACATGCAGCTACACTGTTCAGAAACTTCTGTGCCATCCTTTCAGGTACCTGTCTATCCCTAATTGCATCCATTATAATCTCTTTTCACTAAAAACTTTCTCTCATTTCAACAATATCACTACATGATTCCAGCTGGGTCCGGTACACAGCAGGTTCTTTAAACTTGGGTTTTCCAAAATCCTGTGCTTACATTAAAACTTGAAGATTTTCTGCAAAATTTTCAGCAGTAATTTGTATAAACCAGTTTATGTTCTAATGAATTTTTAAAAATATTTTCCACATCTGACAGTTTATATGTTCTGTGTTCAGCTCCTGTATTATAGCAATGGCCAATGTGACCACCTGCCAAATTCTTTGATGAGCTATTCCAGCATAACATTCCCCAGTTGCATCTGCTCCTCCCTCACTTTGTCATCTCTTCATTTTTTCCCATCGTTTTGCATGCTTTATAACTACCCTGTTGATTTCACTCGTACAGCACCACTTGTTATCAGTTTAATCTTTCTTTCCTTTTTTTATTGGAATGGCTTTAAAAACAAAAATAGGGATATTACAAACTTACCATATGGTAAACAATCTTCTCTTTTGCCATGTTTAAATAACTGTGCCTACAATTAAAATAGGGAAAATAGACATGAGAATATGGAGATTCTAAGGCACTGTATATCAAGCATGTAGTTCTAAAATTCTTTTTAATGTTCTTGCAATAATCTGTAGTGTTTGCTAATTTAAATAGCATAAAAGGAAAAGGGTCTCAGGGTGCAGTTTTACTTCTTTGTAAGTCAATGCAAGTCAAGGATACTGCAGCCCAGCCCTCCCCTCCCCTCCATACAATCACACAGGCAGCCAACTCAGGGAGCTGAGTTGGCCAAAAAACACTCAAGAGAGAATGAAAAAAAAAAAAAAAAGAAAGGAAAGGAAAAAAAAAAAAGCCACTGGTTTTCAGCCAGCTCAGCTCTCTGAACCATCCAGCTCCATGCTTGGTCACAGGAGCTCAACACAGGTGCAACGACAGTACCTATTATCTCGAACAGCTCATGTTGCTTTGAACCTCTAAAAAGTGAAGCAGAATTTGTAGAACATGAATAAAGGCAGAAGAACTAGGGGAACTCTGTATCCTGTTTGGGACTTCTGACAATGAACATCTCCAAACTGAACAAGCCTTGCTTATAATTTAGACAACACAGCACACAGTACACATCAACACTTCGGTCACTGCTAAGAAGCAGGACAGGTGGACACATGTGAGCGAGCTTAGTTATTAGTAGCAACCACACTCTGACAGACAGGGGACAGTACAGGCTAAACTGCTGAGTATTTTACCCTGTTTCTCCAACAGCTTTTGAGAACTCCATGTTAAACTAAACAAAACCAGCTACAGAAATCTCTGATTGCAAAGCCTGCTACAAATATACCTCCAACAGGCAAACTTTAATTCCTGTGCCAAGGGATTTGAAGTGAAGAGCTTCCAAAATAATTTTATATACAATTAAATATTCCAGTAAGATTAAGCCCCAGCACTACAGTGAGACAAATGGACTATTAACACCGAACAAAAACATGTTACACATGTAAAGTTTCCTCAGTTCACTTAGTATGCATCAAAACTACTGTGTTCAGTCACTTATTTTTCCTTGCTTTGTCATTCACCAGAAGAAAAATCTTCCTCAATAAACACGCCTAGGAGTTAAACAAGAACAGACTTACCTTAAAAATATGTACTTTCTCACACATACCAAATACACACATGCCTCCCGTACTGCAGGTGTGGTTAAGAGCAACAAAGGCAATAAAAACACCTTTAGGCTATGTATCCATTCTATTTTGTTTTGTTACTAAATTGCATTTTAGGATCCTAAATTAGTACTTCTGATCAGCTCTACTACAAGCTAAATAGGGGAATTTGAGAATATATATTGAATTATTTAAGATTTTTAATGTTTTCATGTGTAACTAGGCAATTGTAAGGCATCCTTTAAAACCTACATTTACAAAGCAGAAATGCTACAGAACTACTTCAGGCCCTGAAGAACAGCTAATAGAAATAACTACAACACAAATGGTATAAATATAGCATAGCTTTTATCAATATACCGTATCAGTATTAAAAAAAAAAAAAAAATTCCCACTAACATACAGCAATGCTCTGCTTGTATTAAAAAGCCTAAAGAAAAGATGACAGAAAACCTGCAAATCTTTGGTATAATTAAAAAAACTAGAGCACCTCTAAAATTTTTCTGCCTCTTTGCTGAAACATGCAAAAGCTCATTTCTTCATTACTTTGTTCCTGTGCTCTGCTTTAAAAACCTGTCAGATGGTTTCTTCACAAGGTTAGCAAGTTTGTAGCAGATGTTAGGAGATACTGCAGCACCTTACCTTCGCAATTACTTCTCCTTTCTGTATAAAAGCCCGGTGAAGAGCAGATACTGTTTTTAAGGCACACACGGGCTGCCTCCAAATTATTGGGATTATATTCAAGCATATTCAAACAAAACACAGTGTAATTCCTGAAGTAGTGATAATGTAAAGAAACAGCTTTTCAATATAGCCTTGAGAATGCTCCTGGACAAATGCATTTGGATGTCTACCCTCACACTTCTCAGCATACTGTCTGGGAGCTCCTGCAAAGATGGAATAGAATCCTCAAAACATCTCCACATTTTCAGTCTTACATAGTTCCCAAATTCTGGCACCTTTCTACAGGCTTCTCCATGAGTTTTCACAACCTCAAGGCCAACTCTGAATTCAGTTCTGACTCCTCAGGAAAAACGTAACTAGAAGGTATCATCTCTAAGCAAGACGTGGGAAGAAATTAACCAACAAACAAGCAAGAAATGAGAAAACTCTTCAAATATTGTACAAGAATTTTTTCAATGCTTTTCTTAAAAAAAGAAAACAGCCTCACTCACCTATGAGTCAATTTAGAACACTGACCTTGACAGATTTCATTTCACACATTTCTATTATTGTCTGAACAAAAAAAGTGCAGCATACATTGTTTCCCTACAACAGTTTCACTACATACGTAAATAACAAACTATTTTCATAACTGATTTTCAACACAGAACATCTATTCTCAAACAAAATACTGCAAGAATTTATAATATACGTTCAGATGTTAAAATCATCATAGCAACTGCTGTAAATCAATTGAGATATGGATTAAGGGATTTTATTTTATTGACACAACTTTTTAGGGGAAGTAAAAATTAACCAAAGAACATCACAGCTACTGTGCTTGAATTAATAACTAAACAAAAAAAATGGGACTTAATATTTACATGTTTTTGTTCAACAGAATATGTTACCTACTGATTTTGGAATAAACACAGCTGAAAATGCCAAATGTCTGAAAGGAAAAAAAGTTCTGTTTGCACCCACTAATGTACATTGCAGGTCAGATATAACCTTCTACCAAATTATTGGTGTTTCAGCAAGTGATATATCAGGTATTTCTCTGTATCAGAGAAAAGTTTTAACAGCCATTTTTACCAAAAAAACAGTTTTTATAGAAGTGAATAGGTAATAACCAAACTGTTGAGAACTACTCTTCAGATATTCAACACAGCAGGAAATCCAGTGTCTGGGGGTTTTTTCTGATTGTAGCAATGTGAAGAAAAGAAGTTTTCATTACTTGTTTATGAGTCAAAGCATGCAAAAGCATTCACAAGCCCAGGTTTCCCAAACTTTTGAGCTTACTAGGTCTATGTTCCAGGGGAAATAAAACAGCACATTAACCGATGTTGGCCTTTGGAGGAGGGAAAACAAACAAACAAACAAACAAACAAAGGTATGTATTTTCTTCTGGCATGTGCTACAAACAGTCATGCATGTAAGGCAAAGTTACCGTCTCAGAAAAATCCTGCAAACCTAGAGCTTACAGGGGTTATACTGAAGAGTACATGATGCATGAACACAACACATTAAAAAAAAAAAAGAATATAGAAAAAAGGACAAACCAGCATTACAGTATCCAGCTTAAACTTCCTGCCTTGAAGGAAGACAAACATCCAAGGCACACCATTTGAAAAAATCTGATACAAACAAAATAATTAATAAGCTTGGTTTGCCACCTGCATAGATATTTTAGTGTCAGCAACTAACAATACTGAAAGTAAGGAGCCTGTCTATTGGAGTATCCAGGCAATCAAAGTTACGCCACAGTCTTCTTCACTTTAATGGGGACATACAGCACACACCAACTTACCCAACCTGTTGAACTGTTGAAAAGTATGTGACTCCCTCTCTTATAAATAATTAAGCCACCTACAAATTAGAGAAAATCAGTGGTGTGCAAGCAATGACGACTGTCAAGTCTGGTTTTGCTTTAGAAATAGCATGGTGCAAGGAAAACAAAACCTAGTTTCTTAGTAATCACAGAAGAAACACACCACACCTTCCAATTGTCTGCATAACCCAATTTAGGCCCAACCTTCATGAGATATATCAAACAGGATCATCTCCAGGACATGTTCCCCAAGCTATACAAATCACCATTAAGGGTGGCCTGACTGTTTGGTAGCAAGTATATCTTCCTGCCGAGCAGGAGACACAAGTCTGAATCTACCCTCTGGTTGTAACCAACCGAGTCAAGGATTGGGAGGATAATTTCAGCCTCTACGGGAAGAGAAGAAAACGATATCTTTCATTACTCTGGAGCACCCCCTAGTAGTCACACAACATCCAGGTCCAGGGAAAGCCATCAGCCATCCCTGCCTCCAGGCCAGATGTGGGGAAGTAAACAAGGTGAGGGAGGACATGCTGTCAGAATAATAAGTTCGCTTGAAAGTAGAGAATATTTAATGCATTATACGTGCAGCTAATGGTAAAATAGATTAGTTAAAGCCCTTGTTCTTACGACATCTTCAACACAAATAGTACTCCACAAATAGTACTCCTTCTGTAGGCCACGTATTTGTCAGGGTATTGATAATGTCATCATCAACATGGTAATTAAACTGAGAAGCTTCAATACAGAGCCCAGTTAAATGGGTGGCAAAAGGAGTTCTTTTTTCGTAAGATCTTAGTTCTTTATCAGTTGAAAGCCTGAGAAGTTTAGACTAACACATGGACAGCTAACAGGATAGTTCCTTTCCATCTTAACAAGACTGCCCAAAAACAGATTTGAAATACTTGGAAGAAAAAAAAATTAGCAGCTTGAGACAGCACTATATTCTAACAGCAAAACGAAACCATCTTATGATAACAGAACTTCTGAACCTTGAACAAACCACAAATACTTCTGAGATTTTTCCTTCTCACCAGAAGTACAGACAAGGCCACAATAGCATACTCCATGCTGTTCAAAAAGAGAGGAGATACAGTATTACCAGAAAGAGGTCAGTGCCCTTGGTATCTGCAGACATAATATTTTTTTCTTCTCCTTATATCAGCACTGCTTTTTGTACATCTTTATCATCAAACCACTAAGCAACAACAGCTTTTTAAAAAAGTAACGCCAATAGACAATCCTAGCATCACTAATTCTTTGAGAATGCCAAAAATATAGAGACTTGGGAAACATTCTATTTGGAAATATTCTATTTTTGTGCCTCTGGGTCTGAAAGAATAGAGTTAGAGAGTTCTTTCTTCCCTGGAGCAAAATTTACATAAGCATGTAGCTATTGCTAAATAACTTTTGCATTAGAGACAGCTCAGGGAAATGCCCTGTTCTTAAGACTCTCGAGTTTCATCAGATCACTGTGTAGGGCGTTTTATTTTTTTTAATTATTACTCACACTTGTATACTGAATCACTTATAAAACAAATAAGGTTTAATAAGTTTCAATGCCCAAGGCTACCTCAACATGATGACATCTCTGTCACGCAAGAACTGGGAGTGCTACACCCTGCAGCAATAACTAAAAAGCTGTTTGATATAATGGCAGGTTTAAAAGCAAACCTCCAGACCAAGAGAATTTAAAATGCAGATTCTTGAAACAGGTTAGAAGTTTCCTTCAAGTAAACAAATGTTATAAAAAAAAAAGTAGCAATTTCTTATCAATCCATTTCTTATTAATTTATAATCCTTCAAATATACAAAGTATCCAAGCACAAAAGTGAATTTAATTCAATAGTGCAACATTAGTTTCAACAAAAGAGGGCAGTTTTAAAAACTGACTCTGAAATACTGCAAGCGAAGATTCCTGCTAGTGCACACCTGTTGTGAAATGATGTATTTCTGACGACAGGTGTAAAGAAAAAAAAAGAAAAAAGCATCAGTGGAATTAAAATGTGTAATGCAGGCTGCGTGTTTCAACAAGAATCATGAAACAGTAGTACTTGTTCTACACATAATGCTGAGCTAGATTAAACAGTAGCATACCTAATCACCAAGACTTAAGGCCACGAAGAGGCAGATCAAAGTGCAGCAACATCGAACTACTCATTGCATACCTAACTTGCAGTTTCAGTTCATTGAAATGCAAGAGTTTCACATCTTTTTAAAACAGTTTTGCCATGCCAATCTCACTACAAGCTATTTCCTAAATGCAGATCATAAACAGCATAATATCATAATCCGACTAAAATCCACACTGTTAGGGGCTACCCTAAACTGATCTGATGAAGAAAGAGAAAGACTTTTTATCCCCACCCTGGTGGGTTACATTCCTGAAACCTGCCTTGCTGTACAGACCAGAAACTGAAAAAGGGTCTTTTTTCTCTTGCCTGTTCAGAGAGAAATGCCTGGGCAACTACAGTTTGACTCTTACAGGAACAAATTGCTGGAGGAATGTAAGGGCAAAGAATTTTGAAGCTTGTTGACACAAGTTTTAGTTGTCCCTCATGAGGATGTGTTCTGCTTTATGCACTTAGCAATTACTTATTATGATTCTCTTAGAATCTTGTATGTTTAAGAAAAAAGGTTTACTTATTTTAAACACTGCTTTTATTTTCAGCTGATACTTTCAGTTTAACAACATGCTAGTGATACAAGTGTGTTACAAAAGTCTTAATACTAAACTCTTGAAATAAATATTTCCTACTCCACTTAAGCATGTCTGCGTACATACATACCTGCGTACATATCATTCTGAAAACCTTTATTCCCTAATGACATAATTCATGCTTACATTGTAGTAACTGAAATTAAAAATTGAAGACTGAATGCAAGCAAAGGCTTTAAAAATTCAGTCTGCTCATACCTACCAACCGGAACAGGAATTATGAGCTGTAGGACACAAATAAAACTGGCCTGATAAATACTTTCTCCTGTCCCACAGAGGAGGAAAAAATCATATAAATGCAAGAAGGCAGGCTTCTGCTTCCAGGTATATTGTATCGCATTCTAGTTTCGATTCTGCTTGTTAAGTATTCACCTGTTTCGCTTAGTATGCACTAATGAACAGGTGGATAGAGCCAAAGCCAAACTCAAAGGAATTATGACAAAACACTAATGTATTATACATCCTACAGGTCTCATCACGCACCCAGAATGGCAGTCAGTCAGTCTCCCTTTCCAGATCTGACAATAAAATGATGAAACATCATTCTGTCTTTTGAAACATACTGCAGTGCATACAAATAATGCTTCCTCCTGCTTAAGCAGCAAGTCCTAAGTTATTCTAAATATAGATCATTCCTTGTATCTTCTGATTTGGAAGAGCTGCTAGAGAAAAAAAAAAAAAAACAACAAAAACACCACACACCACACACTTGTTCCAGAACTTTGCTTTGATGTTTAGTAACATACTGCATACAAGTCCTCATAGCAATTATTTAAGAAGAGCTGCAAAATTATGCAAATTATAGAAACTCATACAAACACCAGCAAATCCTTAAACCTGTACAAAGACTGTTAAAGAGCATGTCATCTGACTTTGCTTGTGCTACCTCAACTTTGGCCAACAATAAAAACATGAAGGAACAACTCCACCCACACAAACTCCTCCATTCCACCCAAATACATTCGGACATCAAAACTGGAACAGATACCAGAACTGTTATTCAAGTATTTCAAAATGCACACCAACACTTTTAAGGGTGTAAAACTACAAGAAAGCTTTTATAAAAAGATATTCTTCGAATGTACAAGAGGAGTGCTATCATATAGAAGTGGTTCAGGTATTAGAGATTTTTTCCCATCCATAGTACATAAATTTTAAAACCCAAAGTAAGAATTTCACTCTTTGAGTCATAAACTATTGTTACTTCACAAGGTAAGGAGCCTTAAACAAAAAACTTGTTCAGATTAGCATGCAAAACCACAGGAAATAGTGCATTTTTTCAGACTACTCAAAGACACTGTCTAACAAGTTTAGGATGTCTTATTAAAACTATTGAGAACAGTATTTTAGTTGAAGAAGAATGGATACAGCTTTCAAGAATCACTTGCATTTTGGTTACTAGTTCTGAAAAGTCTAGGAGGGACCACTACTATATCAGAAGCCCAACCTCTTCATTTCGTATAGTTCGAATTATTTAATTTATTTCAAAGGTTTTGTTCAAAGCAAAGGAAAAAAAAAAAAACACAACACAAAAACAAACCAAACAACCCAAACTGAATTATGAAATGACTACTAATATACAATCAGGTATTTAAAAATATTTTTGAGAGTTATTTATCAGTATCTATACTGGTAACTTCACTTTCATTAGATGATGACAAGAATACTTAAAGAAACTATACATACATGGGAAGTTACATCTTCAAAACTGTTGTGGAGGAAATTCTAGCTACATATTATCTTATCCTTTTTTAATAAACAGGAATCTCTCTGTGCATTTGCTATTAAATGTCTACCGTAGCAGTATCATATAATCATAAATACAATCTATATTTTAAAGGAAAAACAGTATTTACCAGGGCCTGGAGCATGCCGTTCATAACAACAGTCCCCTCCATGGTCTGGAAGGAGGATTTAGATAACATTGAAAGTGTCCAGTCCAGGAAGTCTGCCATCCTTTTTTGTCTGACATCAGGGCGGACAATAAATCTGTCACAGAAAAACCAAAACACTGCAGTTACTCATTTTATGACTCTCAATGAAAAATAATTCTTCCTGCTATCCAAACTGGCTGCAGTTCCTAAAAGCAATTCTCCAATGGGAGAAATATCCAATTTAGGATATTTTCCTAAATCACTGAGGGTGGGAACACTCCAAACCATCTTATGTTAGCCCTTCTGTTTCTGAGCAAGGCTCTGACCCAGAATTTCACTTTCACTTCAAACCAACCTATAGACTTGGATTCTAGAGATTTCTCATCTTAATTGTAAAGCAACAAACTTTCCAAAGGCCCCACATAAAAATTATTTCCATTAGAATGAGCGAAAAGCTGAAACAAATACGAGGATTCTCCATTCTCACCAAGAAGAGCTATTCTGCAAATCTGAAAATTGGTGCAAATCAACAATTGGTCCATACTGCACTGTTATCAGCCAGGTCCATAAAGAGTAACCATCAGTGCTGTATTTGGGTTTTTGGATATTTGAAAAGGTCAAACACCTGTTATTTAACACACTGGATGGGTCAAGAGATGCATTTTTACCTATCTTACAGAGGGTGAAAGAGGTTCATCATGGTTAAACTACTTCCCTAAACCTATACTCAGTCATCATCAGTGCCAGCCCAGCTACGCTTAAGGCATCTGCTTCAGTTATCTAATTTAGTATTATTAGTGCCGAAAAATTAAGGTCCTGTTCCAGCAGCAATTCAGACTACATTAAGAAACTTTGTTCTCAATGCAATCAAAGGAAACAAGGTACATGGGAAAGCCTGCAAAGTACAATTCATAATGCTTAAAGAAGGATGCATGCAGAGCCTGTATCTAGTTACTTTATACGCCTACAAATTAAATGGGGAACTGCACCAAGAGCTAACTAACAAGGAATATTAAATACAGAGAACACAGGAAACAGTGAGCAGACACGTGATCACTTGAATTGTCTTCAAAGGCAGTATCTATTGTGTTCAGCAACAGAGAAATGAGGATTTGGGGAAGGGGTTAGTTGAGGGGGGGTGGTTTGTTTTACAAGAGAGAAGCAAGGACAAAGCCTTGCTTTGCACAACAGTGCAAGTAACAGAAGTAACCTGTAAAGTAGATGAACTGGTTCCTAGACCCTCTCTCAGCCCAAAGGAGTTCAAATCTTAATTTCTCAAAGGAGTGCCCTAACCTCCAGACTAGAAGCAAGATAGGGATAAGCCTCATCTCCTCCTACTGCAACCAGGTCACTGAGCAGACAGAAAAGAGAATTCATAAAACAAACTCCAGCTCCCTGGCCCTATGAAAAGCAAATTACTTTGGAAAACAGGATGTCTTGGATCCTGTTGTTTCTAAACTTCTTTTGAAACTCATAGGCTCGTTAGAGCAGGAACCAGAACCCAGACTTCCCCTCTCCAAGGAGTTTCCTACTCAGTGTGTCAGCGTGTTACAGAGTTACACTCCTGTATCTTATCTCTCTGTCCGTCCTAGGACTTTTGTATTTCTGCCTACCTAACAGTCTAACTTCAATAAGATGAAACAGTGATGTCATCTCAGAATAATCATGCCTGCTCATTAAAGAACTGTTTTGGGATGTGAACGCAGTGAATTTAAGTGCACCAAGGCCAAAAGGCCTTGGACCCAGGTCTTCTAATTCCTGGTGAAGTGTTTTAATCATTAGGCTATTTTGAAAATGGTGTTTTCATAATAAACTAAATAATCATAAGTACACTAAATAGTAATTTCGCTCCCATTACAGTCTTACACACCTTGATGCAGCTGGTACTAGAACAAGCTTAATGTATTCTATGACCTTATTTGTTATGAATATAAGCTTTTAATAAAAATTAATTCAGCCAATAAAATGGAGGTGAAGACATAAGACAACTGCTAAAAACATGCCTGCATAGTCCCCTGCATTAGGATGCAAGGCGCTTATGAAATCCCCCTGAAATCCAGGGCTGAGCACTGCATGAACACAAAAGTTTTACTGAATGTAATGCTGTAATCAATCACATTACTATATATATGCTTCCACTAGTAATTTATTTTTACAAATACCCTGGAGTCCAAATGAAGTGCAAATTCAATCTGCATAATGTGATGAAAGAATCTTTTTAAATTACTGTCATCCTTACTTGAGAAGGCTTCCAAACACTGGATGTACCTTCAAGAGTCTACCACATTTGGTTGATTTGGGTTTTTTCCCTGGGTTTTTAGGAAAGATAGAAAGGAAGAAGATAAAGGGCACATTCAGGCACATATGAATGCTCAAGAATAATTCACTCTATGTCACACTTTCACCTCAAATCCTTTGCTTCTGTCAACTTGTGACAAGACGGATTACCAATGAAGATAGATAAAAATCCTAGAAAAGCAACTTCCAGTTATCACTTCCAAAACGACTGCAAAAACTAATTAGGATACGGAGACAAACCTACATTCTGTCACATGGAAATAAGTATGTAACAGACAAGATTATTTATTAAAGACTATTCAAATGATTCATGCATTCACTTAAATTTTGCTCTGAAATATTTCAGAGTAAATCAGAAAAGTACAGGACTAGTCACCAGAGAACTATGATTCTAGTCTCAACTCCTTCATGAATTTTCCACATGACACTGTCAGTTCTAAAACAAAAAATTGTTTTTTTTTGTCATCAGATTCAGAACTGTAGCATTATACTCACTAAATACAAATTTCTAAACCATGGAGTCCCACGACTGAAGTTCAGAATAAATTTAAAATAAGTACGTGGACTGTTATTTCCCAAAAAGACAGTTAGGATCTGCTCTACTGAATGTTATATTTAACAACTATTTTGATACAATTAATCCCACAAATTTTGTGCCTCTTAATCCAGAGCAAAATGTTAACACAGATTTTATTGTTCAGCCTAGCTACCCACATCCACTATCATCATTTCGCCTTGTTCACCCCACAGAGCCTCTGCTCCTGTAGCTACACTGGCAAAACTATGTTGGCAGAGCCCCCTAGTGTAGATAGAGTATATGCTAGTGTAAAGATTTGCTTTGAAAACAAAGAAAAAAGAAAAGAAAAACCAAACGACAAACTGAGCTGACTAAAGTCCTCTTCCGCTAGAATATATTGGAATATGTACTGTGATATATACTGGAAAAAAGATACGTGTGTACTAGCACAGTTTATGGTCTTTGTAATTTGTTTTCATATGCATCACAAATGAAACTAATCTCCACCAATGCACTAGGAGAGGAAAGAAAAGATACAGAAGTTCATTATTTCAAATTTATAAACAACCCTAGCATCAGTATTACTGAAGCATGCAAAAAATGTCAGAACAACTGCACCTCTGGCACAAATTGTTCCACGTCTGAACACCAACCATGTAAAACAACGGGATTTAGAAAGTTCCATTATCCTACACCTGTTTCATTTGATGAATTATTTGACAACAGTAAACCTAAGAAAACAGAAGTATTGTTTTCTAGATGAGAGAATGAAGAAAGCGACAAGCGGGATATTAAGAAAAAAAATTCTAGCATTACTATTTCCTTTTACATCACTTAAGTACTTCTAGGAAACATCAAGCCAGTAGTATTAGATACCAATTCTCTATTTACCATGCAATACACTGCAAAAACCAGCAGCAACGCAGAGTAACTGTATCTTTGTGAAACCTTGTAGCACAAACCAGTCCCTAGAAGGCAATTTGAACAGTATCCTGTTAGCAGTATCACCTGTGACAGATACCTGTTCCTCTAGTAAGCAGAAGAAAACACAGCAGTTCCGATAAAAAACACACTATAGGATCTGACTCAAGCAAGTTTAACATCCCACATACAGCTGGCAACTTCCAGTCCTCCCAACGCTATCATCATCAGCATGTCAGACTAAAAAATAGCAGGGGAAATGGGAGCTAGCTTTTTTCCCTTCTGCCAAGAAGCACAAAAGAGACTTACTTTGAAACCAGTACAGCAGCTGCATCTCGAGCCTTGTCACTGACAACCAAGTAACACTAAAGGTAAAAGAAAACTAACTGTAAAAGAATTCATACATGCAGATTTAATAACAACTACGTAACAACTTTGTACGTGAATATACTACTTAATACTTATCATTACAAATATTATTATGATTACATATATTATGTAATTATTATGATTACAAACTGAACTTAAGATCGTAAAAAATTAAATTTCCCATTTAACAAACTGTATCTCGGACCACAAAGTTCCCTTCTAGTGTCTTTCAAAGCAAGTTTACCTTTACTGAAACCTTAACTTACAGTCATATTTGTGCTCCTACATGCCTACAAGTGATAAACCACTTAAGTGCTGCAAGTGTCTAAAGCATAAGCTGTTCAGATATTTGTGGGGAGGGGGTTGTTGTTTGTTTTTATCTTAAAGGGATGACAAGTTAGCCACTTCGGTTTACGCCTAGTGAAACTTTATTATCTTTGTTGAAAATTCTTCATGCAGCCATAGCTTCCAATGTTACTCATCCTGATCAAACGCTTATTTCCTATATAAATCATCAAACTTGGCTTTCAGAAAAAGCTAGCTAGTATTTTCAAACACTAAAAGCTGTTAACATAATCAAAGGTATGCATTCATATCAGATAGTCATAAAATAAGACAGTTTATTACTTCAGGGAAAACAAGTAACAGTCTCATCTGACACTAAAGCAGCAAAGAACATACTGAAGATTCCAAAACTATGGAGAAATTCTTTACCAAAACTTGGCTTTCAGAAAAAGCTAGCTAGTATTTTCAAACACTAAAAGCTGTTAACATAATCAAAGGTATGCATTCATATCAGATAGTCATAAAATAAGACAGTTTATTACTTCAGGGAAAACAAGTAACAGTCTCATCTGACACTAAAGCAGCAAAGAACATACTGAAGATTCCAAAACTATGGAGAAATTCTTTACCAATTAGACACAGAAAATATGACCTTAAATAATATTCTGAAAAGACAGTAATTTATTACATATTGAAAGATGAAGCCTAAGAAAAATATCACAGGTTTGAAAGTATCACAAGATGTATTATACTTACTTTTGCTATTTTAAGTATGCGATCCATTGTTGGCATACGAGCATGCCCTTCCTCAGAAATAATATTTCCATCAAAACGGGCCAGATCAAAAGGAATCAAGCATATCATGGAGAGCCATAATAAAAGCATATAACGAGTTTCCCAAGTCTGGAAAAGAATGGTAAAACAAAATATGCACTCCATTTTCTGGAACATATTCCAACAAAGTGCCTGGAGCCAAACTATCCACCGGCTCCAAGGAACTGTCAAAGTAAGATGATGAAGAAAAAACTCTGAACCTGAATGCTCTGAAACACCAAAGGAGACAGAACTACAAGAGATTCCAAACAGGAAAACTGTAACAAAACTAATGGACCCTCCCCTCTGAATCTGAAATCTAGACAAGTTTACTTCCTTCCCAAAGGAAATCTGCATGTTGCCACTTTCCTGTTTTCTCCTTCCCTCAGCCCATTTGTGGCTCCAGTCACAAATATGAAAGAAATATGTTCTTCTTCCTAATTTCTCATGCATTGCATTCAGGGGTTTACTAAAACAACTTTAGATGCGTTTTGAAAGACAGACAGACAAGAAGGAACTTTTACAAGCTTTAAAGCTGTACAGCTACATCAACAACAGCAAAGTGGTCAGAAATGATAATGTTTATTAAAAAATTATTTCCATTTAGAGCAGCAATACAATTATTGTCTTCATATCCATGATTTTCGTTACCTATAATACATAATGATCTCTCTTAAAATTCATCTATCTTAATAAACCTTCTGGAATTCTTATTTTTCCTTATTCAAAAATATAAGAACATGAACTACGGTATCTTGGAGTCAGACTCAATGATCCTTATGGGTCCCTTCCAACTCGAGACATTCTATGATTCTATGCTCTCAATCCATGCTTAAAAACTCTTTGCTTAAATATTTTTTCAAATCAGAATTCTTGCCCAGAACATTCTCAGCCAACTATAACTTTAAATCAAGACACATAATGAAGTGGTGTCGCGCTGTTTTTCAAATTGCAAACAGGTAGGAAAAAATCTGAAATTCTGTGTCATTTTTCCACAGCCAGGAATATATTATCAAAAGGCAAAAATCCAAGCGATTCATGCCTCATGCCATAATTGTGCAATTCTCTCCAATCTTCACCTCCCTCCTTTCAAAAGAAAAGGGGAAAAAAAAAACCAAAAATCCCTCACAGATCTGAAAATAGATATCGGGGGGTTGGGGGAGAATAAAACATTTTAGTTAATTTTCCTTGTTTAATTTCATATCTTCTTCATTTCCTCATCAAAATAGAAGTTCTCATACCAACTTTGACAAAACCCAAAGGTTTAAAAAACAGCCTGTTTATATAAAGAAATAGGAATAAATACATAAAACCTAAAATGCTCTGTTTCCTGTGATTTTACTTTTATGACTTCAAGCTAAACTAACATGACCGTTAATGATATGCATAGCAGGAAGAGAATTTTTCAGTTACTCCTTTTAGAAGTTCAATATCTTTTACTGCCTTTCTTATTACTGTTGTTTCAATTAATTTGTTCCCGTATAAGAGTGGTTAAAGATTATACTTGCACCTCAACCGCCATCGCTTCTAAATCCTTAGAACACATCCCATGAAAGAAAAACACAAGACCGTTCCTTCAATAAGACATTTCTCTTCTGACAAGATGACTTTCATACTAAATCCACACGTTCAGTTAACACCTGACAGGGTGTATCACTGCTTTATACACTTTTTTCCAGATTTTTTTCTTACATTGTTCACCAGCTTTTTCTGTATGAGACATAAAAGTTAAACAAAAAGTACAGCAAGTTCTCACCTCAGAGTCTTTTGGATTCTGGTCTGCAAGCATATCCAACACAGGCTGTAGATCACCTACTTCATGAGGAAACAGTGGGAGGAAAAGTTTGTACCCTCTCACCTATAACAGAAAGTTTCAAAATTTAGTAAGCCATCCAGCATCGTCAAGTACTGAGGAGCTTCTTGTATATGATCCTCATGTAGTAAGAACAATAAGGATATGAATTAAGGTCTTAAATACCTTGACATTTTTGCGTTTTTACAAACTTATTAAGAATTAATGGAATGGTAACTCTTTAACTTTAAAACAAGGGACCTCTGGAGATTGTCTAGTCCAACTCTCCTGCTAAAGCACGGTCACCTACAGCAGGCTGCCCAGGACCATGTCCAGTAGGGTATTCAGTATCTCCAGGGATGGAGACTTCACAACCTCTCTGAGCAATCTATTCCAGTGTTCAACCCTCACAGTCAAAAAATGTTTTCTTATGCTCAGATGGAAATTCCATAATCCATCTCATTCTTCATCATACTTTACTCTTCTTTTTAACATTATGACTCTTCTTTTATCACTGAGTATCTCAATATCTGCAATTTTTGTTGCATTCAGACCTTGATTTTTACTACCCTGGATCATTAAATAACACAAGCCATCATGAAAATCATAAAAAAGAGAACTAATCTTTCACAGTACAGTTTAACACATTTCATTGCATTACTTAGACAATTATTTATTTATTTTACTGTTTTTGAAAATGTGAAATTTTTTTAAGTTATTTAAACAACAAAGAAAATATTGGAAACTTACACATTTCACTTACAGAATGTAAAATTTGGGGGGTTTTACCTTTGTAATGATGTAAAGAAATTTAAAAGCCAGGTGAACTAGCGGGGGAGGAGATCCACTGTCCCGTACTATATCCAGCAATGAATTCATCATCCACTCTAATGAAATGAGAGAAAAAAAAGTGAGAGTACATGCAGTTAGCTTACAGTTTCTCATACTTCTAATAATAAAGAGGGAGATAGTAGTCATATAAGTAATATCAACCACAGCAATCTTGTAATGCATATATGGACCTTTTTAATTTAACAGATTTTCAAGTATATACACAAAAAAGTATTTAAAGATGACATTCCTACCTAAGTGGCGATCCAACAAGTGAGGTTGCTCCTGGTATTTGTCCATTATACCTGAAAAGGAAAAGATATCTGTAATAAGCTATTCAAATTAAAGGCTCTTACAGGCATTAATTGTGAGATACACCCCTGATTCTAGACAGCTTTACCTTAAGATTTCAGTACCCTTGAGCTAAGTGCTGCCACCACCTGTAAGCGAGGTCCAAAAGTAAGAAAACTACAGAGAAGTAACTGTAAGAATACAGTCTGCCCACTTCCGTAGTGCAATCATTTACCTACATTGAATCATAAACTCCCTTCCAGGAGTCTCTCAAATTACTGTGGACAAATCCCACAGCTAGATGAAACAAACAATCACTCAGTTTGTTGCTGCCCTTCGCTGCAGAGCTCTTTGTGGCTCTCCTTTCCTAAGCGCAAGTTACCAGCACACCATTTCCGATGGAACTCTGCAAACAGAGAACATTAAACCACTACAGGCTGTGGCTGCTCCAGGTGTACCAGCTTTACACTGCACTCTTACCCACGCAGCAACCAGAATGCTGCTTTACACCTTTCTGCCTTGCTGTTCACATCATCTTCATTAACATATGGAATCCCACTTACTTTTACACACTGTTCTATTTGTTAGCATGTCAAATTACTGACTGTCTTTAAAAACACACACACACAAAGATATCCCAACAACAAGAAGTGTAGTAGCATGACACTTTTCCAACCCTGAGGCTAATACAGCCATGGGGAAATTCTCCCTGGACACACTGGGTTTCACCACAAGGCTGTCTTCCTTCCCATGCCTGGAACATATTTAAAGATGTAGTTCCACCACTGAGGATCTGTACTGAAACAGGGTATAGGCATTGCAAAATTCTTATCTCTTTGTTTTGAGATACCTTACTATAGCAGAAGAAAAAAAAAACGTAGTACTTTGCAAGTGAAGGTGGTCTTCGCAATTCTCAGAGCTAGTTTTTTTACTTTGAAATAGAACACAGGAAAATATTCAGCAAAGAACAAAGAACCCTGACACATTTTAACCTGGACAAATACAAACCGGAGCTGTTACTATCTATGCTCCTCTAAACCTTTCACATGACTGACTTTATCTTGCTGCCAGTAATACGTTATCTTCCTTTTGGGAACTGATTTGAGGAAAGACAAATTGAAATTGAATATTGAAAAAAACTAAGAACAACTTGTCATAGTTTTTAGAAACAAAAGCATTTCAATTTAAACCTAAAATCAATGAAAAACAGCTACAGAAATGAGAGTTGGATTTGAGAAGAGCTCATCAAGTGATCCAGTATTACGCTGGAGATTGCCTGGGTCATTTTAGATATATGGTCAGAAAATAGCTTTTTAATTAGAAAACTAAAATATCTTAACCTCTCCTTTTCCTGTATTTGTTTCTCTCTCAAACAATTTTGCTCTCTATCCCCTTTCTCCGCTTGTCACATCAACACTTAAGATTTAAGACATAACTCAACTTCAGCAGTGCTGAAGTTGACCAGTGGATGACACTGCACAACAACTTTCAAGACACCAGCCAGTCCAACAGTATCCTGGCAGTGACTTGTACAATTCCATCGGGATCCCATAGCGCTGTCTACTATCAAGATGGAAGCCTGAGCTCCTAATCATCACTAACTCCCCATTGTAATTAATGATACCTTAAGCTGCGTACAGATAACAGAACTAGTGAATACAAGAAATTCCATCAACGCTCAAAGCAATAGCTCTCAAGCAGAAGTGGAATTTAACAGCAAATTCCTTATCTTGCCAAATTGTTTTCCCAGATCATGGTCTGGCAATCTAAAGTAAAACCCCAAATCTAAATGCTGAAGAGAATGAACTGAAAAAAAGGTTCTTCTAATGCTATTATTTCAAAATCATCTTCCTAAATTTTTCCACAAAATTATAGTTGCAGATTAAACCATCTTCCAAACTTCTAACAGTTCACAAAAAAATGAGCATCACGTGTTTTTGTGAATGCTTTGGAGATCTGCATTAAAATCCTTTGTAACTGATCATTACTGCATTATCTGCATACAGATTAAAGGTATTCCCTAAGCTTCAACGTTATATCCCACACATTTAGCCTATAACCATATTTGGGACATTTTACCCAAGAAGGATCAAATGATACCTTATGACACTAAATGTTATAACCAAATATTGAACAAGATGTACAGTGCCTATTAGTTTTAAATATATTAACACTGTATTTACTGGGCAATGATATGCTCTTCTGATACTTATCATAGAGCAATATCCCCCTACCTTCAAAGGACCTGCTCCCAAGCAGTGCAAAAGTCACAGGTTTCAATGGGTAGCAAAGCAATTTTCCTCATAAGAATTTATGTGACAGAGTGGAGATGCATGCAGAAAGTTCATAAATACAATTTAAATACATAGAGACAGTATATATGATATGAAAGGCAGAGAGGCATAGCAAGGTGATCGGTTGGAGGAGATGATGGCCTTTCAGACACTGAGATTTTTTCAGTAATTGCTTTTCTATCCCATCAAATTCTGCCATTTCACCCGTGATAGCGAACAATCAACAAATATGAGTGCTCTTGCTACTTCTTTCTGAACATGTTCATCATTAACCTCCTTAGATGGAACAGTCAGTTAAGTCAATCGAGTATAATTCTACTGAGTAACTTCTGCAGGGTCAGATTTCCAAACTTTGGGTTTTCTGGTTTATTGTTTGCCTATCTAGTTTCTTTTTGTCAAAAACAGTATCAATATTTTTACTGTAAGTTTTTGCAATTTCACCATTTTTGCAAAAGAAAGTGCAAAATGCTAGTCCACTTGATTTGTAAATACACAAAACTTTGAACTAACTGAATATTGGATATTGGATCAGAATATTGGATCCAATACACAGATGTGCATTCTAACGGGCTAATTACCTGGGACACTGCTACACGTAATTATACCACTTCTATATTCAGCTGAGGTCTAGAAGCAGAATAGCTTTCATTATATGGCACAAAAGCTCAGCTACTAAGTCAGATCCAAGTTTCCTCCACTCAGAAACAATTACATGATCTGTATGGAGTCAGCTGCCCTTCATATTTCCCATGAAATATAAAAGTAAAAATATGAAATTACCACTTCAAAGCTCAAGATGTATGCGTTTTTAACAAGTAATTAGGTACAAAAATGGCTTTATTTGACAGACATACAAACTTTAACTAAATCATTGCCTGCATTCGAATAGGAAACTGGAGGCTAAGCATGGGTCAGAATTCAGATTTCTTAAATCCAAGACCTGGGGGTTTTATTTACAGTAGTTAAATACTACGTAATAATGGAATATATAACTGGAAAACAAAAATAAATCTAAACTACTTGTTGACAAAGTTCCAGCATTATCAGCAATCCAAAGTTAGTCCTTTTTTGGTAATAAATTCCTTTAAGCCATGTAAGAACACGCTCCCTTCGGGTGACGTGCTTACCTATGAATTTTTCCACGGTCATTTCTCGAGTCACCAGATCCCCAAAGACTCCCTTCAGGTTACCGATGAGCCCCCCGATTTCCTGACTCTCCGTGAAACTCTCCAGGATGTTTCTCGTGGTGGTGACACCTGGCTCCTGAGTCTTCCCTTCCTCTGGCTCCGACCCCGCTCCATCCGCCTCGCCCAAAGCCATGCCCGAGGCCGGCCGTCAGTGCTTCC